TGCATCAGAGAGTTGGACAATGACTAGGGAGGACAAAAGGAGAATTGATGCCTTTGAGCTGTGGTGCTGGAGAAGAGTATTGAATACACCCTGGACTGTCAAGAAAACAGATTCATCCTGGAGAGGATTAAACCAAGTAACTCCTTGGAGGCAAGGATTCTGGGGCTTAATCTGACATACTTTGGGCATGTTGCAAGGAGAGACTGGTCCTTGGAGAGGGACATCATGCTTGGGAGGGTGAAGGGATGGCGCAAGAGGGGTGGACCCTCTATGAGATGGATTGTTTCAGTGACTGGGTTAATTGGGATTGGTGTGTCAGAGGCAGTGTGATTGGCACAGGACAGAGCAGGGTTTAGGGCTGTTGTACACAGGGCTGCTTTGAATCGCAAATGACTCGACAGCACATAACAACAACAACAACTATTATGGCATTGTCTTTTTTTTCAGTTCTGATAGTGTTTGCTTTGTGTATTTTGCAGCTCTATAATTTACTGCATGCATACTTACAGTTAAGGCCTCTTATTTTGGTGACCCTAAGCCTTTCCTTGTTCCCTTTTTAATTTTTCAATAGTGATTTTAACAAAAGTTTACAGAAAGGTTTTCATTAACTCATTGTAGCACTTTTTCTTCTCTCTACTCTTTTTCCTTCCCCCAATCCACTTTGCAATGCACTTTTCCTCCAGATTGTCATACATATAATGCCTAATCCCACATTGCTTCCAGACAGTCCTTCCCCTCATTCGTTCCAGTGCAGTGTTCATTTTCCTTTTTTTCCCTGTTCTTCCCTACCCTACTCAGTGGTAATATGCAATGTTTGTCCTTTTATGACAGAGATATTTCACACAGTATAATATATTCCAGGCATGCCTATGTTGTGTACTGTTTTATAAGTTTATTGTTTGTCAGTGCAGTATAATATTTCCTCATATGATTGTCCTACAATTTTGCTATCCATTCATTTGTCAATGGGCAGTTGGACTGCTTCCAACTCTTTTCTATTGTGAATAACGCAGCAATAAACATACACAAACATGCGTGCTTATTTGAGTTGCAGCTCTAGTTTCTTTAGGGAATATTCCTTGTAGTGAGATATGTGGATCAAATGGTATTTCTATTTCCAACTTTTTGGGAAAGCTTCAGACCACCTTCCATACCATTTTACTTTCCCATCAGTAGTGAATAGAGTTTCAATATCTTCACAACCTCAGCGGGATTTGTTGTTTGAGGCCCTGTTGAACTTCACCACTGTTGCAGAGATAAGATGATATCTCTTAATTGTTTTTATTTGTACCTCTTTGATAGCTAGGGATTTTGAACATTTCTTCACGTGTTTGTTTGCCATCTGTATGTCTTCTTTGGTGAATATTCATATCTTGTGCCCATTTTGTGTTTGCATAGTTTATCTTTTTCTTATTGAGGTGCTTCAGTAGTCTACACATTTTAGATATGTCTGTTATCAGGTATGTCATTATCAAATATTTTTTCCAGGCTGTGAGTTTCCTTCTTAATCATGTTGGAGAAAGTTTGTTTGTTTTTAATATGCATGGGGATTTGATTTTTAGAAAGTTCCATTCTATATTATTCTCC